AACATCTGAAGTAGAGAAAGGATGATATGTAGCCACGACCATCCCGTTTTCGCGTAGACACATTGCCGAATTCGTGAGAACCTTGGTCGACGAGTAGGTGATCGAGGGTTGGTCCTGGAGGTACACGCCAGATCCTATGTTGTCGAGATAGCCTCAGGCAGGCTCTGTCTTGATCCTCTTCACCATAGCCTTTGAGTTATCAGGAGCCTTGCGCTTGGATTTGGATACCTGCTCGATGAAGTATCCGAGGTCGCGAATACCATCACCAGCGTCATCGAGGAACTCTGCATTGGCGGCCGCTTCATCGCCATCTTCAGAGCCTTTGGGGAGATGGCCAAGCAAAGCCTCAGCTTGCCTCTCAATATATGGGAGGTGCTTCTCAAGCTGCTCTCGGACTTGCTCGCCCAGAGGATTGATGGTATAGTCGACTGGAGCGTGCTCGCGGAGGTTCGTGCTATACTCATCGAACATGGCGTTCAAGCGCTCGAAGTGTTTGTTGATCAGAGCGCCCATCTTGTCATCGAGTTGAGTCCGGAACGTGGTGATGGCTCTGTCAACGAAATGGTTCTCGGCTTTGAGGAAGCGCGCTTCCAGCTGAGATTTCTTGAACTTCAAGACTGGCATGTGGTACCGCTTTTTTCCTTTGACAATGGATTTGATCTCAGGAGTGGCGGCGAAGACGTAGTCGTAGATTTCATCCGTGATAGTCGCAATCATGTTGTTCTCGCGTTCATCTTCCAGGGTGGCCCGGTGCAGTAGGCGCTTCTCCTCAGCGATCATCTCATCCATCATAGCCAGAATCTTACTCTTCATTCGATGTTGCATTGGAAGAAATTTGAGCTTGGCTTTCTCGACAGTGATGAGGTTTGCCGCGGAATCCTTCATCAAAGCCATTGTCTTGTTGAACAAGTCGTCCATGATAAGCGGTAACGCAGCTCTCAGTTTCTTCAAGTGCTCCGAATGTACAGCGTACCACTTGTAGAAGCCGGGCCTCAGTAAGGTAGCGAGCTCCAAATTCCAGTTCACTGTGTTCTCTAGACCCTTGGCCTTGGATGTCCCTTGCGGAACGTAACCCCTGTTCTTGAGAATGCGGTTCCAAGCGGCGTTCTTTAGGTCCAACCACTTCTTCAGTATACGTTTGTCCAGGGCCCCTTTGTAGACATTGATGTCTTTCTCGATCTTCGAAACGCTACTCTTTGAATAGCCAAGACAGTGCCAGTGTAGCATCTTGGCCAGATCACCCAAAAACCTGCGGCGGAGGTCGTCGAATTCGTCAGCAATCGTCACGAATCCAGCGTCTCGATCTGACTGCGTGACAACACGTTTCAACTTCTCGACGAAGGCGGGGACCGTTACTTTTCCGTGCAATATATAGGAGCGCAGGTTTTGAGGAGCTCCTAGGTTGTACAAGAACCTGCGGATCGCCGGTACTCCAGTATGCTCTGCGGAGAGTGCAGGTTGCTGGTCGTACTGAATCTTTCCAGACTTGATCCAGCTCATGTAGTTTGCTGTGGATGTATGGAAGATTTCCACGGTATCGTCGTGAGAGAGCTCTTGGAGGGTCGATCCGAGTATCCTGGAGATGGATTCTGCACGCTCTCTGATCATATACGCCTTCCTGTAGCGCTGAAGATACGACTTGTAGCGTGAAATCAACAATATCTTGGTGTCATCATCTTCTTCTTCCGCGGTGGTAGCGTCTTCGTCAGCCTGTTGCATATGAGTGTTGATTTCGTCATATACTGCTCCGGAACACTGTGCGAGTTGATCTTCCGAAAGTGACTTTGGAAGAAGTTAGTACGGTTCCAAGTGAAACTCAAGATACATACGTCAATTTTGGTTGCCACAACTTTCACGTTCGATGCACCATGGTTGAGCACACCAGCTCTTGCATTGCTTATCACCATTTCGTCGGTCCCGATGCGTACCGTGTCACCCAGGATGATCTCGACGTCGACAGTGTCTTTGACCTCATCGGCGTGTCGCGCTCGTGACATATTCGTATCACCAGACCCTAGAACTTGTTAGCTGTGATACGCTTCCATTGTCTCAATACTAACCTGGCAGATCGATAAACTCCAGATTCTGTTGAAGAAGAGGATGATTGAATCGAATGGTGACGCAATCGACAATAGGCCAAAGACAAACCTCGCCCTCGACGTTGGACAGAAAAGGTTTGATGACGTCCAAGAGTTCCTTGGGGGTGTTCTTGCTGAACATTGCAATCCCTTGGGAGTTCATGTCTTGATCTTGCATTGCTTCTTTGCATTTGAGCTGACATAAGCTTTTGAACTCTGGGGTATTGACGGGGCTTGAACTCCAAGCATCGAGGAACTCTTCTCTGGATCCAAAGATAGTATCGAAGAAGTCTTCTGCTGTTTTCTTGCGTTTTCGGTCGAGTTCATCCTGCTTGAAGGATCGAGTTCGCGGGCCATCTTCGTCTTCTGAGTCGTCCAGATCGTTATGATAGTCCATGTAAGAGCGAATATGTTCATCTACCATGGCTTCACGCTTCTCTGCATTGAGAAACTTGACTTCCGCAGAGAACTTGTCGCCCGGACCGTATGCGTATTTGACGATGGCGCTGGTACAAGCAAAGCCTTTTGCACCTGTCAGTGACAAACCGGTACAATCAAACAGAGCGTTGATCAGAAGGCTTTTTCCAGCTCCTTGGGCTCCAATGAGGGCGATCTTGATGGTGGATGCGCGTTCGACCTGGTCTAGCATCACTGCGGTCTTTACGACGTGCTCAAGTTCTCTGTCGAGTCCCGTCTTGCCCTTGGTGCATGAAGCGACTTTCTCTGAGATGTCTTTGAGTATGGCGTGGATCGTGTTTCGGTCCAGATCCCACCAATCATGTGGAGTTTTCGACTCAGCACTTGCATCGTACTTGAGGACAGTCTTGAAGAGATGGGCATGATCCTGGAACCCTCCAAAGTTGAGGAGCGGCTCCATTGCCATGCTTCGTAGCTGATACTGGACCTTTTGCTCTGGGCAAGGTATAGAAGAAGAGGGAAGTTGTTGCAAAGCAAGTGGATTGATGGAAGACTGGAGAAGAAAAGAAAAGGAAGGATGGTGTAGGAGTAACGGTTACCAGCAGAGCAGCAGATTAAATAGTAGGGCAGTGACGCTAAACCGCCGGCCGGCGAAGGTGAGGGGGACAAAAACCCGATTGCGTTGATAGTGAGTCTGGACGGTTGCTGATTATACTCCAAGGTGAGAGTCTGACGATGGACGGGCAGGGAATTCTGTGCCTTATCGGAGGCAAAGGAAGCGGTGGGATAAGCAGGTATTGTGCATTGAGGTAATTGACTGCAGATTGGACGAGGGTAAGTTTGGGAGATCGATATTCCAGATGCGGATGTCCAAAGTCCACCGCAACAGATTCTGGCGATCAAGATATATACCATTGATCTCCTCGGCCAGGCGGTCAGGTTCAGAAGTACATATTCCCAGCAAAGGCGTACAGATAGCGTATAGCAGATGTCCAAGCCCATATTGCTCTTCATGATCATCCAGACCTTGTGTCCCAAAGTAAGGACTTGGAAGGTTTTGCGGTACAATAGAGCATAATTTGTAGATGCGAACATTCTAAAGACCACGTAGGGTCCACTGAGTCTGCGGCTGGAGAACTAGAAGCGCGTGCCAGGCGCGTGCATCTCGCGACGCGTCCGACCGGGGGGTAAATGATACCTAACAGCGACGGGAAGATGCCAGAGATAATCGCTGCGGCGGTTGTGTGTTGGGCTCGGTAGCGGCATATGTTCGCACGATAGCATATTGCGAACAGGAGTGTAGGTTCAGCGTCGGGGAGGAGCGGAGTTCCAGCGTCCGCGCGAGATGCCTTAGCGCGATCATGTGATAGGCTAGTTCACTTGTGGAAACCACCCACGGGCCGCCTGCAGCAAACACTCTGGACACCCTCGTGCACTTCTGTACTATGACATTTCTTCGCCATCTGAAATCTTCGTACATCGCCAATATACGGTATCCTGGAGGTGTTCGTAGGTTTCCTGTCAGTACCCAGAATTTAGCGCGAACTATCCACCAGCGCGACGTCCACATCGGCCCCACACTTCATATTTCGCGAGCTTCAACACCCATGTATACTTCTGGGTAACGACGCGCACCGCATGACACTGTTAATTTTCGCGTTCGGTGCACGTCTTGGAGCATGCCAGATGCGGTCATAACGACTGTATACCACCTGGGCAGTGTCTGCACCAGCTGAAGCTTCGAAGAGTTCGTTCGATCATCGGTCTCGGTGTAAGCCGGATGCATTTATACTTCCATGCGCGTTCATTCCATGTCAGCTAAACTATCTCAAGCCTAGTCGACAGATCATCTTCTGAAACGCGACGCGACGCGCCTGTGATGTGGTTGGTATGTCTTCCCTCGTGCTTACCCTTCGAACACAACGCGTCCTCTGCAAAGATATTCGTCCATGCGCAAGCATGGCACATATGGTACCCAGTTCTTATTTCGCGAGCACTCTTGATTCAGAGGTTATCAGAGCCCGCGAACACTCTCACGCGGCACACGACAACATCATGAGCTCGCCTCCACGCTCACCTTCTTCAAGCCCAGGCTTGAACGACTACGCCGGCGATGTTATTCTTGGAAGCGGCCGATGCCTCAAATGTAACGCCCAGGGACATTGGGTCAAGGATTGTCCGTTGGCAACTTGCTTCCATTGTCGAAAGAAAGGTCACATCATGGATGACTGCCCTGACAAGGTCAATATACAGTGCTACGGCTGCAGCAAGTTTGGACATCTTCGCAAAGACTGCCTGAAAAACGAAGATGACGCCAGTGGCATCGCAGCGCAAGAAGAATTGCGTAAGACGCGTCAAACACTACAAGACACGCAGGAACAGCTGCGGCGCGCGCAGCAGGAGATTGGTCTGCTACACGAAGACTTGAAGGAAGCGAACGACAAACATGAACGTTGGCGCGCCTTCACACAGAGCACTACCGGGAATATCTGTGCAGCACCGAAAATGCAGTGTCTGCACAAAGGTAGCTTACTCATCGAGATCCTGAGTGTTGCCCTACGGTACTGACGAGAATGATTAGATCTACGATACACCCAACTACGTAGGGTTGACCCGAGTGCTGCGAAAGCACAACTGCAAAACTATGCGCAATACGTAGATAAACTCTTCGATCAAGATTCATACCACCTGTACCTCACTATCAACATGCTCGTATACGAAATCGACTATTTCAAGGTCAAGGAAAGCGATGGTGGCCTCATATGGCGATATGACGCAGCCCTCACTCTTGCGGCGCTGCTTGAAGGAGCCCTAGAAAAGTACGGGTATAGAGAAGCATGGGATCGGAACATTCTCGGGGCACTCAATGCCGCAGATGTACAGTTGAGTCGCATCATCATCAACATACATGACATTTTTGGGAACGAGTTCAATTTAAAATCAGCTCAGATCCAACTCGTAGACGGCGATTGTGAACTTGCAGCTGTTCACGGCTTCGATGAATACTACCCGAAGAGTAGAAGCTCATTGGAAAGGTTTATTGGGTTCTTCGGACATGTCTTTTAATGAGTGGGCCAAAGCTTTCGTCGAGAAAATGCGCGACGGTAATATCGCAACGCATTAGGTACATTTCCTTTGTATTACTAGTCTTGGAGAAACTGTTCATGTAAGCTTCCCTAGCATCTTAAATACCAGTAATTCTCAGCCACAGTGCGCTTGACTGTACCTCACACAGGGAAGAAAATGAACAGGACTGCAGCCTACAATAAGATGAAGACATGCAAAGCAGATAACCTAAAGTCAATGCAGGCTTTAGGATGTTCATTCTTTCTCTCGAATGGGATGACTTTACACCGATGTCTTGGTTCTAGAGCTATCCAGGCCTGGTCTCCGTCAAGGCTGAGTCGTCTCATCATCGCGCATTATCACAGCGATGAGAATGACTTAGGACACGGTGGAAGAAAGCCTCTACAGATTTCCTAAATACAGACGTAATTGAAGCGACCCTTTCCATACGCGCGGCACTGGATTGGTTGCTGTGGTGGGTCTGTTGGTGGCGGATTCATGGTACGTTCTTCGCTAATGGTTCCCAACATCGCCAAAAAGTTCTTGTCTGATAACTCAGCTCACTCATACTTTCTCCCTAATTTCATCGGCTGTTCTTGATCAGCCTAATTCTTCACGGCTCCTCCCTCAACGCCAAAGATCCACGCCAAAATTCGACATGCCTGCTCCTTGTTTCGACACCACTTGCACGAAACCAGCTCATCTTTGCTTGAGCTGTGGGGACCACGGCCATTATCGAGAGACATGCAAAAAGTTCCCACCCAAATGCCTCCACTGCGAACTACCAGGACATGTCATCGACGATTGCCCCCGGGCGGAAACTATTCTCTGCTTCAATTGTCAGAAGTGTGGGCATACGCAGAATAAATGCCCGAATCTACAAAAGAAGCGCAAGTCGGACACGATCGTGGAGTTCGTCAGCGCAGACATGTTGGCAGAGGCGAACAAGAGGACGAAGATTGCGCACAACAGTTGGCTGGCGAAGTATGGAGAGTTAGAGACGAAGTTTGGTATCTCGGAGGGAATAATTAAGGAATTGAGGAGTGAGAATGAAGACTTGAAGAGTGAGAAAGAAGACTGGAAAAGTGAGAAAAAATACTTGCAGGGGATGAACGATAGCTGGAGAGAGTATCTTCGCGAGGAACAAGCGTGGAATAAGACGCAAGCGACAAAAATTGATGATTTGGAGGGGGACAAGGCTGGACTATGGTTGAAGGCTGAGGATCAAAGAAAGGAGAATGAGAGCTTAAAGAAGCAGATGAGGGCGTTGAAATCGTCAGTCAGGAAACCGCTGTGGGAGATAGCATCTCTGCTCGATGCTTGATCGGTGAGTTTGTTCTTACCTGCTGTCAACACACAAAACTTACAGAGTCAACAGGTCCGGCATACAGTATCTTCAACACCCCCGTTCCACACCCAGACCAACCACGACTCCGCTATCCGAGTTTCAATACGCGGGTAGAAGCGGCAGCCGTTTCGGCTTATACAACAAGACGAAAACAAATCCCACGCATGAGACTTCGCGATGTAGGAGCCTTCCGCATAGCTTAGCAAACGTGCGACGATTCCAGTCGGAGAGGCTTCCACAAGCCCATCAAAATGGCAAAGAGCAAAGCGAAGAGACCCGGTGTGACGAAGAAAACCAGGACTCTCATGTTCACTAAATCGGTCCCGTATCACGAGCAATACCATTCTTACAAACCACCTTTTTAACCCATAAATTGTCCGACACGTCGTTTGATCTAAACGCATACCTAGATACTCGCGTAGAGAAAGCAGTAGAAGCAAGCAGAGAGACCATCAGTACTGACAAGCGCTACATATTGCACAGGTGAAGCCGACCCGCCACCACTCCACTCCACTCAGTCTCCTTCTCTTTCACTATCATTATATCTCATTCAATCCTAAGATTAGTCATCGAAAACATTCCAGGGGCATGTGGTCTAGACTCAAAAAGCGAGTATGGCAAGGCGCCCGTACGCGGTTGTACTGGCTTAAATGCGAGCGAGCTTGCAGGGAGACGCGGATTCGAGTTTCGCCATGTCCAACTCATTATCTTTCTTTTTGCCGCTCTTTCTGCTCTGGCAACAGTGCTGTTTGTATACTTGCTTAAGAAGATATGTTTCTGCCAAAGTAGTGGTGACGCAGAAGTCTACTTCACCTCAGCGTGCAATGGTGGAGTCGCTATCTTGGGACTAGGAGACGACAAGATCTTTTCGCGTTAGATGTTTCATGATTATAGCGTAGGTTGAAGTATACGTTACCTTCGTCAACACTTGTTCGATAGCATCTGATAGTGTGTATTTAGAAAAGGGCGGCCTAGCTTCGGTCATCCCCTAGTAACGTTCACTGTCTTCGTTCCAAGCCAACCCACCAGCCCAGCTTTTGTCCGCATCTCCGCCATCGATACCTTGACCCTTTGTTACTGCAACACCTTATCTCACTTCTCCAGCGCGCCCATATAAACGAAGGCCATTTTCTCAGTAACAGGTACCTTACGTGACCCAGCAATTTCCTTGCTAGACTCACTCCTTTCGTTCGCGTAGAGACTATGGAACAACTCAATCAGCCTGAGCTCCTCTCCATGGACCAATGCGAGTGAAACATTGTGTTTTATACGCCATGCGTGAGGCGCGAAGCAGTTCTGGCAGAGACGTGCGAGAGTCTTCATATTTATATACTGTGTGATATTGGTGTCACAGCCCTGAGTATCACAGATCCGGCGGTGGAGGGCGGTATGAAGGTCAGCGAGACTGAACGTGGCCTGTGAGTGAATTCCAATGGCCATTCTTAGGGTGCTTGGAGCGAGTGCGATGATCTACGATTACAGCGTTAGTCCGAAAGCTGTTACTCTGAGCATCTCTCACTTACCTCTTTCCACTCAAACATTTGAGATACCAAGTCCATTGCCATTCTGTTGACTCCTCTCCACGTCAATACAGTAGCAACATCCATGTGCAAGACAACTTGCTGTTGCAACTCTACCGGAAGCCGAGAAAGTAAACCTAGATTAGGTGCGGTGGTGTAGTCTGGTCCAATAGCGTGACGGGCATCGTCGAGGAGACAATGACGAGCAAGGAGATCGTGATGGATCACGCCGTGAATAGTGTTGGCATTACGTACATGAACACGTATGTTGTTGGCCGCCGACATGACAGTTTACTTGGCTGGAAATGATGGTTGTGGTGAGGTGTAGGCGTCCGGGTGTTAAGAACAACAAATGTAGAATACTGAGCGGACCTTTGACCAAAACTAGCGCAAGTGTAATGCGATTATCATGTGACAAAAGAAGTGGAACAGGCACTGTCGTGCGCTGGCGCTGGCTCAAGTAGACGGTTCATTGTAGTGATTATCGTTGATGCTTATGACGCTTGGAACACTGCAAGATCATTAGTCGCAAGAACCTATGTTGTGAATACGTATCCAATGAACAAGCAAAGATGTACACAGATGTCAGGACTGACACCTGCTGTGCCTGCTGTGGAGATTTCGAACAATCGAGTTGTATTCCCATAGCTTGTAAAATCCATGGATGCGTTAGAATCGCGGTTTACGTCGGATTAGAGCCAGCAATAAATGACCTGGAGCCTTCTGTGCCTGGATAAATCTTGTCACGGAGTGCATAACATCTAGGCAGCATCTTAATTCCTGCGCGTGGAATTGATGCAAAAAGAATGTCGATAAAAGGAAGATAGCACCTGGGCATGTATGCATGGTGCGCAGGGGAAAACGGGGCATGTGTAAGAAATTGGCAAAAAAGAAGAAATCAAGCTAGCTGCTCTCGGTTTCGATCCGAGGTCCTCCGGGTTATGAGCCCGGCGCGCTTCCGCTGCGCCAAGCAGCTTTTGTGGTTGATTGGTTGATGGAAGATTTGCAAACCCAATGCAATATGTTTACAGTCCAACAGCAGATGAGTCTGAGGTACAGAGCATTATAAGAGCAAGTCACAAAACTTTCGTGTGGGAATTCAAGCGAACTGTGGGACGTAGCGTGAAGATTCTGCTCTGACTCACAAAGAAGCGACTGGTTGTGGAGATCCCTTGCTAAACTTCGCAACACCCCAACACCCCAACTAAACCCTACCTAGGTACCAACAAAATCACAAAGCCCAACCCACCGGACGCCGCGCTAATCTACATAACCGAGCCTTACACCAAAAGCCTGACACAAAAATACACTCATAATCGCGATCGTGACCATAATCACACAACCTTCTCACCTCGAGAACGCCCCCTCAGCATCATCCCCCAGCCCCCTAAACGCAATCCTTCCATTACTCCTCAACACCTCACAAACCGTCTCAGCACTCAACTCATACCCACTCTTCCGCCAGCGCGCATTAAGCCAATCCGCCAACGCATCCGCACTACAGCTAAAGCGCCTCGTATCCCACTCATGCAGGATCAAATCAACAATAGGCTGATCAGGCAACGGTTCCGGATGCGGATCCTGCAGCGGCACCGAACTCAACGGCATGGGTAGTGCGCGGGGCGGAAAGATGTTTTCGTAGGCGGTCAGGAAGTGGAGGAGCGTGTGTTCGGTGTGGGGGCGCGAGGCGAGGGTTATGCCGAAGGGTTGGCCGTTTAGTTTTAGGGCGGAGAGAGGGCAGGCGGCGGTGGGGTAGCCGGCTGCGGCTGCGAGGGCGGAGAGGGGGGCGTCGCCGGGGGCGACGATGAGGTCGAGGGATAGGGTTGTGAAGAGGTAGTCGAGGCCTTCGGGTCCGCCGGCGGTTTGGAGGTGTTGGCGTGCCGCGTTTACTTCTTCGCGTTTGGTTGTGGATTGGAGGGCTGCCATTAGGTCGTTTTGGTCGGGGCAGGCTGGAGGGTGTTAGTAAGAGGAGGGAGTTTGGTGGGTTGGAGGGCACGTACTTGGTGGGAGGCAGAGTTCGGGGTGGTCGAGGTTGAAGTTGATGATTTCAGCCAACGAGTGCATCTTTGTGACTTTGAAGTCGCGGATGAACTCTGCTAGACAATCTTTGAACTCGGAGTCTGCGTCGTATC